TAAATTTTCTTTATGGGGCGTTTAGTTGGGATATAATCTTTCCCTCTAAACTTTATCACTTGTAAGATTATTTATATATTTTTATTTATTAATAATACTAAAATTAATAGATGGAAAAAATAAAATTTTATTTTTTAATTTTTATATAATTTTTAATTCTTAAACTTTTCTTTTTATATTTTTTAACAGGAAAAAATTTCTCTACAATTTTCTTTATTGAAAATCTAATTAACAATTTTTTACCAATTTTTCCTATACTAGTTTCTTACTAAATTCAAAAAATTAACAATCTAATAAAATTTTACTCAAAATTTATCAATTTTTGTATAAGCATTTCTAATTACATTTTCAATAAAAAAAAATTATCACTGAGTTAGTTGAGTCGTTAATTATATTAAAAATTTTAAATTTAAATATATCTTATCAAATTCATGTTCCCAAATAGATCATAAGCGAATTTTCAAAACACATGTTATTAATTATTATCTTATAATCTTAAACAAGTATGTTTTTGTGTGGCTTGACTCAAAAAATCACCGTTAATTTTTGGGAGAAAGATCTCATATTCAACAAACCATCCCTCTCAATAGTTATAATTGAATAATCTGCATCTGATTAAATTGTACAATATTTTTTATCTTAAAATATTGATTAATTGATTTTTAGTTAATAATTTGTATAATTTAATTATTTCACAATTATAAAACACTTCAAAAAAAAAAAAAAAAATAATATATTTTTGGATATTAACCCAAAATATTTTAGAGAATCATCGTGTATAGAGCCAGGCCAATAGCCCAGACACAGGCCCGCAACTTGTCAACAGAAAAGTTTAATGGGTTGGGCTAAGTTTTGGGATAAACAAAGCCCAAACTTTTCTCGATTGCAAAATCGATTTGGATCCATCTCTTCTCAATATCGGGAGATGCGACTATTGGCGATAAATAATTAAAGAGAAAATGTATAAATAAAAATGTTAATTTTTTATTTTTTATTTAAAATATTAATTTAATTTAATTAATATAATTATTAAATTATTTAAAATATTAATTTATTAATTTTAATTTATTAATTAATTATTAATAATAAATAAATAAATAAAATTAATATTTTTAAATAAAACAATTTAAAATTTAGCATCCTTATTTTGAAATCAATAAATTTAATATTTTTAAATAAAAAAATATAAATTTAGCATTTTTATTTATACCTTTTCTCAATAAATAAGGTAACAAAAACACCATTGCTGCTGCCCACGATCGAACTGGGGACCTTCAGTGTGTACGACTGACGTGATAATCACGACACCACAGCAACCTAATGTTTGAAGTTCAGCTAATTTTCAGTTGGCAAAACCATAAGTTAAGCCCCTGAACCAACCCCAGAATCGCTATTAAGTCCCTAGACTGTAATTGATGCATATAAGCCCTTGAACTCGGGGATCAAAGCAATTAAGCC